TACATAGCCCCCACAATTAACAACCATTATTAATTTAATCACCTATGGGGTAATTTTTCCCTCACAAGATTAGACAAGAGACTTACCTCGCTCCGAAGTTTCATAGCCGGCTCCAAGCCTTTCAAATAACTCGACCGATGCCTAACGCTCCAAAACTGGCTTTCGCTTTATTAATATTCACAAGTTTTTAATCCTCCTCCGACATTGTAACATTGAGTAAAATACTCATACGCCATCAACAAATTGATATCTACAATTACAATCCCAATTACAATCAAAATATGACTCAAAAATATTTATCAATATCCATTTATGGCTCTCAAGTTGGCTACAAGCCTCCAACTCAAATCGTCTAATAGGTTCACTTACTAGCACATTCAACTCCACTCTTATCATTCAATACCCATTTGAAGTCATCAAAGATATTACATTAATTCTCCAACACCGCCAAATAACTATTTATCGTCTTCCTTAACCAACATTTCCAAAACATTCAATTTGGTGATTACTTAGTTGAATACTTTCAACTAAGCTAGAATATGATTCCATAGGTTCATTGCATCCTTTAATTTCATTTCTAAGAACACTATTTTATCTTTCCCTCATTTTTTCAAGAACACTATTCATGTCATGAACTAGAGTTTATGAAATCAATTATCCAACCATAACAACTTGAAACAACTATTAGAATTACTCTCACCGACTCATAAGAAATGAGTTTGAAGCTTAGTATTACCTTCTTGAAGCTTTTCTGAAATTTCAATGTTTGAGAAATTTGGTGTTCTTGAACAACTTGAAAGATTTCTAGGGATTTCAAAGATTGAAGGATGTTAATAGGATGTTATTAACTTAAAATATCCAAATAAACTCACCTTATAATCTTAAGTAGTCCCCAAGGTCGAATCCACCATGAAAGAACCAATCCCTAGCTCAAGAAAATCCCCAAAAATGGCTGCTGCCCGTGACTGCCTTATAAAGGCACAGGTGCTTCAGCGAGTTGTACCTTGCTCTGTGCAGGTTGTACATAGGCCTGCGAGTTGTACCTTGCTCTATGCCCTTCTGGTGGTCATAGGCATATACCACTTCTGGTGGTTAACGAAATTTAGTTACAATGAGATATACGAAACTAACCACTTCTGGTGGTTGTATATTTCTTGCAAACTTTGCTGGAGTTTAAGTGGATTTAACAATGTTATCCACTTTTGTAATCCTTTATTAAGATAATTAGGATGAAAACAGATACCAAAATAGGTACCGTATACATAACATATAACCAAGCAAGCGATGATAAAGATATTAAAATATAAGAAAAAAGCTCAAATTAAATTACGCAAATTTAGCCACTCTAGAAGTAAGTGATATCTACATGATCACTACTGTAAAGAAGAAAAACTCACTACCTCAGGGATATAATCTGCCTTATGATGCTCGGAATGAACAAGATCTAACCACGAACATAAGAGTGTCGCCTTCTCTGTGGCTGTGAGTTGCTTCATGCACAAGAAATTAAACTCAAATAAAGAGCTGAAGATGTCAGAGTCTTGTGCTGATAACGTGTTATAAAATAAAGACTGTAAAGTAAATAAATCGAAGACAAGTATAGAGGGAGATTGATATTTTTATTCAACTTTAAACTGATCTACATAATGAACTGAAAACTCCTCTATTTATAGAAAAAAGGAAGCAGCTGCAAGGCTTTTCTTGAGCTGCTTGTAAGTTGTCTGCATGAGCTGCTTGTAAGCTGCCTGTATGAGTTGCTTGCAACCTGCCTGTTTAATAAGAAGATGCTGCAAATCATTTCATTGAGTTGCTTGCAACCTGTCTGCATTAGCTGCTTGCAGATAAACTTCAATAAAGTACCAAATGTATAATCTTCTTCGAGAAGATTATCTATAGCGTAATAATAAATGGATATCTACAATATAATTATTTTCATAACAAATTGAATAATTTCAGATTTTTTGAAAAATTATAATTTTTTACAGATTCACATAAATTGAACCATAAATAAAAACTGAGGGAGTAAAAAAAAGAATAGTAGGATGATATTACTCCGTTATTAGTCTAAACTTCCCGCCACCTCCCCAGTCAGCTCGCAAAATTGCGTCTTTGCCTGTTAGAAGCTATGGAAGAGGGAGGCTTAGCTGCCACTAGTGGATTTCTTCAGGTATTCTGAATTCTTCGAACCTCATTCTACTCCTTTACTTCATAATTTCCGATATTCAGCTCAACGATCGGCTATTCTCTCGTCGATTACAGTTTAGGGTTATCTGCTATTTTCAAGCGAATTTTGTGTTACTTTTGAATGATTTCAATGTCTCCCATTAAATTTAAACTGACTTACCCCAACGTTGTCCAATCATAATGTAGGAAAAGCAAGATTCTGACCAGAGTGTTTCCGGTATCTTCTCCTCCTTTAGAAATTAATCTTCGGAATAATAAACCTAGCTTAGTTGTTCTTTTAATTGAATCTGCTTTTGTGTTGTTTGAAATTATCAGAAGAGGAGGATATGGATGATGACAAATGGCTGGCAAATGACAATTCTCTTAGTGGACCCTCAGGAAACAAGGTATATGCCTCATGTATTTTGTTGCTTACATTTTCACATTCCTCTCCTTTTTACGGGTTAAAAGGCTAGCTGCCTTCTATAATGTCGTGGAGAAACCCTACTTTATCATTTATTTAAGACAATTTGTGTTAGTTTGTCGAATGTCAGCTGAGCAGACTAAATCCAACAACATGCAATCAAGTTCACAGATAAATTCAAAGAAGAATCTAGAGAGAGAAGTTAGAGAGAAGTGAGAGCATTTTTGTGTATTGTGTAAAAATGAGAGAGTGATTAACTAATTAGTGGAAGGGCACTGTTTATAACAGAATCACGTGCCCCTTCCAATTAACTTCCTAACACGTCCGCTAAGTTTCCTCAATCTACATTAGGATGAGTCCTAGACCAACTAATCTTGATAATTTGCTTACTGTTAGAATGAAAATGGGCGCATGGAAAGCTGAATGGATATAGAGGAGTCATATAGCCAACCCCAAGTAGTCTAGTTGGTTGATTGATTGTTAAAGTGGTGCTTCCTTTTATGATGTTTTGGCACATCTTGCTTTCTAACAATTTTCAATGCATTGGAGGGGTTAGGTTTCTGTTTGGCCTTAGATCATTAGCAATTAAATTATAGTTGAGATAAACTGTTTAGTTTTTAATCACAATGACCAGCATGTTTACTGCATTATTTTTCAAGTTAGGCTATTTGATTTTTTCCTGCTTTCCTTATTTTTTGTATCTATTTGCTCATGAATACTTTATAATGTCCAAGAGTCTGATGTTTCTTATTTGTCAGGGAGGTATAGGAGTCCTTTCCCAGCTTGAACTACTAACAGGTATTCTCAGTGAAACTTTTATCTGGCAGCCGACTCATCCACTAGAATTTTCATTCTTAACATCCCCCCGCCCATCACCCTCCCAAAAGAAAAAGAAAAAAGAAAAGAAAAGGGTCTTTGAAAGTTATCCATGTTAATCTTGTGCAGATGTCAAAAGACTTCATCACTCAGCCCACACATTGAATTCTCATCAGCTGGTATTGATTGAATTTACCTCCTTTTTTCTCTCTTTACCTTCATTTCTTCCTTCTATTGTTCCTTTGGTCCTTTTTCTTTTCCTTTTTTTTTGGTTAAATTTATGTTAAAGAGTTATTTCCTAATCGGCGTTAACGGATCATGGTGGTTGAGAATTGAACATGGAAATACTTTTTGACGGGGAGTTCAGAAAAAAAGTTGTTCTCCACTTCTCCTCCTGTTCTTCTGGAATCATCTAGTTTAAGGGACAAACTTTAGTAACTGAGGCTGGAGGCTTGTACTGTCACAATGTGTATCCTTTCCGCAAAAGGGATCAGTTACTAAGTGGAGAAACACAAAAGTGATAAACAATAAAAGGTCCAAATGACCAACTCCTCTTACAGTTCTATTTGCTTTCCTGTTAGCAGAGGCAAACAGGCTTCTGCAAAGAAGGTGACGTTGAAGTTCCTTCTTTTAAGAGTCAGGGTGGTGACTTCATCAACAAAAACGATCACTGGATGGCATTGTCCTGCTGCTTAGATGACGGATTTAGTCACGTTTCTAGAACGACACCCGCTTCTAATTCAGAAGAGGAAATTATATCTGATGATGAGGTATGATTGAAAACTGTATGCCTTCAAAATCAATGTCACTAAAACTTGATTACTTAATGTTGTGTTCAACAAATACTAAGTGGCTCTTTTTGAGGTTAAAATATCTGGCAGATGAGGCCTTTTGCTGACGGAAATTTAAGAAGAGATGGTAAAAGCACATTGCCTAAAGTAAGTGCAGAATGCAAATCAGGAGTTTTCTTGAATAAAGATGCTGGTTCTTCATCGTCGTACAGTGCCTCATCAAAGTTGAACAGATCATCTAAAGGTATTAGTACTTCTGTCAACTTCATTTCCCTATTTTGCATCATCTGTCTTGATACTAATGATGTCGTCAACTCAACTGATGAGAAGTTTGGTCTTATCAAGCATTATTAATCATAGTTGGTTTAGTTGTCTTGAACTAGGCTGTCACTAACTAGCATAACATGTGTAGTAATGGTGCTTCTCAAGAACAAGAGCACATGGATTCCAAGCAAAATAGAAAAGAAATGGACGCATCTTAACATTGAATTCTCAAGTCTTATATCTATGATGGCTCTTTTTCTTTGTGATCCATTGGGTTTTCAAGCTGTACTTTTAATTTTTTTTTTTTGCAATCAACTGCAGGAAGCCGGGGCAAATCTAAGCCCAAATTTTTGTTCCAATCCCGGCCGCTGACGAAGGATTTTGCTTTGGTTGTCCATGATACTTGTGAAACCAGCACACCATTATCTGTTCTTCCCCTAAATGTAGAATTAGACATGCAAAGAAATAATATAGAGTCACTGGATGACTTATTGGAGGATTTTGGTGGAAAAGAAATACAGCAGTTCGAGGAGGATTTTGGNATCTATTGCAAGGCCTAGGCAATTTGGGTTAGTATGGAACTAGAAAGTGTCAGTAATGAGCATATTATGCATGTTTTCTAGGAACAGATGAAACAGAAAAATCTTCAAATTTCATCTTTTCTCACTTACATTGACATGTCATGCCAGATTATCTGGAAAGTTGCAGCAGCTAATACAATGTGAAAAGGACAGAGATACATATTTCTTGGAGAAGTCACAAACACATGATGCTTCAAGTGGTAAAAGGCCAAACTTGTATATCTTCTGTCCTCTTGCTTTTTTCTGACCTCTTCTGCTGTTATTGCAGGTGCAAAAAACTTCATTGATGTGAGAATTTTGTCAAGTTCTTTGGAGGCCAAGCTGACTGTTTGTTTTTGTGCTTTACATGGAGATGAAGAGGTACTTGGACTAACTATTGTACGTATGCTAAACAGAAAGTTAAGAATATGAGTGCGTCTACTTTATTGAGAATAAGATGCTCCTTTCAACTTTTTGAAGGTCATGAGCATGTTTTTTTTTGCTCTCACTAGTTTTTAAAGAAGAAAATGTTGGTACTTGTTTTAATTATAGCCCAACTTTCACAGGGTACCTAAGACATTTACCTTTCTCGTGTAAATAGGCAACTTGTAAAAGTCAAAGTCAGGTTGTTGCCTAGCATAGAAAGTCAGGTAAGGTAGCATAAGAGTGTGGATGCTGAGGTGTGGGAATTTTACTTTTATGCTTCCTTTCTGAACCAAAAACTTCCATTTTAGGTAGGAGCTTTGAGTGAACTATCATTGTTTCTTAACTTTCTTTAGACCGTTTCCCTCTGAAAAACTGTAAGAAACAGGCCCTGCTGATTCAACAAACAAATATGGTAGTGTGCTTTGAAGTGTGTAATAAGTGAGAAGCTTCTGGAATTATATTCCTCAATGAATTACGTATTCATTTTTTTCTTTTAGAATTGCAGTCATGGAATAGTATGGTGTTTATTGTGATTTAATGTGTTGGCTTCCGTGTAAACTCTTTCAGAAATATATTCCTCGTCCTATTTACGGCTTGAGCTTGACCTTCCAGAGTCCAAACATGAGATATTTATGTACTCATCTCACCCTGCTTCTCTCAACTCAAGTCTACTGTATATTTTCAAAAGACTCATGACAGTTTCTTTTTGCCACCACTATCATATCATATTATATTATTTACTAAAAGTGGGAAGCTACCAACGTCAAGGTTGAATTACCAAAATAACCATGTAAAATTGATGGACTTATTTACCCTTTCATACATCAAATAACTCTTCTGCTTTAAAAAATGAATATGTATTTTAAATATTAGCTATTGTGTTTTAAAGTCTTGATTTGACATGATCAGGAAATTTATTATGGTTGCTTCAATATTATAAGTATTCTTTGAGAAGTTACTATCTTTCTTTCATATTAGTTGGAATTCACATCTTGAGATTATGAAATATGTGGCAATTAATAGTTCCATTTTCAACATAGTCAATATACAAAGGAATAGAAGGGGCGGAGGTTACGTCAAGGAAGAAAGGAAAGGCCAAGGATTGTTTTGATCTGACTTATGGCTATAAAGTCATATTTCATGGGAGTTCATTCATTCCTTAATTAGTTTTGCAATGGTATTGCATTTGATTATTTGATGTGCTTCAACGTCAAATTAAGCACTTTGGAATCTGGAATACAACTAGCTGACAAGTTTTAGAAAGAAAAATTCGTGGTGTAGAAAGGTACATGAAGATTACAAATTTCATTTGAGTGACTTAAGGTCAAATGCCATTGTTTTATTTCATATTTGTCTTCTCTTTAGTGTTATTTGTGTATTTGGAGGACCTGTCAAATCATATCTTGGCCGCTTCAATTGTTTCTATTTGTCTATCCTTTGTTATCATCCTCACCATCCTCAAATAATTTAAACTTTTGGTGGATGACACCAAACTTTAAAGCTTCCAGCTGCTTAACAAGTATTATCAGATACTCTTCTAAGTCCATAGTTAACCAGTTCTTTATCAATATCTGCTGATCAGTATGTATCAAAGTTAAGGCCATCGGAAGTCGGAACAAGCTCTTAGAAGTTTATTGGGTTCTTCAAAGGTTCTATCTTCTATGTGTAGGGGAGTGTTGGCTGCTTAATAATTTCCAACATAATAAATATACAAAGGAATAGAAGGGGCGGAGGTTACGTCAAGGAAGAAAGGAAAGGCCAAGGATTGTTTTGATCTGACTTATGGCTATAAAGTCATATTTCATGGGAGTTCATTCATTCCTTAATTAGTTTTGCAATGGTATTGCATTTGATTATTTGATGTGCTTCAACGTCAAATTAAGCACTTTGGAATCTGGAATACAACTAGCTGACAAGTTTTAGAAAGAAAAATTCGTGGTGTAAAAAGGTACATGAAATTTACAAATTTCATTTGAGTGACTTAAGGTCAAATGCCATTGTTTTATTTCATATTTGTCTTCTCTTTAGTGTTATTTGTGTATTTGGAGGACCTGTCAAATCATATCTTGGCCGCTTCAATTGTTTCTATTTGTCTATCCTTTGTTATCATCCTCACCATCCTCAAATAATTTAAACTTTTGATGGATGACACCAAACTTTAAAGCTTCCAGCTGCTTAACAAGTATTATCAGATACTCTTCTTAGTCCATAGTTCTTAACCAGTTCTTTATCAATATCTGCTGATCAGTATGTATCAAAGTTAAGGCCATCGGAAGGCGGAACAAGCTCTTAGAAGTTTATTGGGTTCTTCAAAGGTTCTATCTTCTATGTGTAGGGGAGTGTTGACTGGTTTATTTTTTATTATTATTTTTTTTTATCATATGTTTGTATTTAGTACAATCAAAATTAATCTCATGACACATTGTATCCACACTAACTAAATGTAGTTGTTCAAGTTTGCAAGCTTAGACGATATCATTTAGAGTCAATTGTCAAATTGGTCGAATAGGCTTACTATTCATGGGCTCCTATTTTTCCCTTCAAAATTTCATGTTAATAGCACACATGTTTTAATAATGTATAATGCCATTTTAAAAAGTTTATACTAATTATCATGGGATACACGTGCAACGCACGTATCCAAAAACTAGTAAAGGAAAAAAGCCAAAAGTGCCTTGTTGGGTATAGCGCCTGCATGAAGATTGATATGGTTTATTTGAGCTTCACTGGTCGCTTACAATCCATGGACATAATTTGTAGTGGAAGATTATCTAATGCAGATTGTATAAATCGAATTATATAGGTTTTCCTTTTTGTGTTTAAATATGTGAACTCTTAAAAATCAAACCAACACTAATCAGTACTCAATCCCCGAGCGCGTAGGTCTGGAAGGGAAAGAAAGAAGTTCTATACCATCTGGCTATTCATTTCGTTGTATGGGAACTTTTAATAATGAAAAGTGCGTTCCAACATTTTATTAACTGTTTATTCCTAGTCTGGCTGGTGTTGATGGTTTCATTGGTTAAACAGAATAGATTTATGGCGTTGGGTGAATGCTATCTACAATTTTATGTTTCTTTGCAGGGTTCTGAATGCCTGAGCAATCCTCAAAAAAGAAAGGGTACTGGAGGAAGGAAGTTAACTATCATTTTTAACTCAAGAATCTGTAAAGATATCGAGCTGGAAATAGGGAATTTTATCCGCATACATCAGCCTTGGTAGGAGCGGCTCTAATACTTCTTTCTTCTATATCTGTTTATTTTGTTTGATTGGAATTCTTTGGTATCAGTTTGAGTGAGCTGGCTAGCTTTTGGCACCCAAGCTAAACTATTATGGTTGAAATGCCTAGACCATCTTTTTGGTAGTAGCGGAATACCTATACTTGAATCAAAACAAAATAGCAGATAAAGCTAGATTTGTTTTAGCCCCTCCTATTCCCGAGAAAAGTTCTGGCTTTGTCCTTGGAAATTATTCTTTAAACCATTGTTGTGGATATGCATATGCCAATGTGTTCATTTTGGTAAAAGCTGCACCTTTTACTAAACTTTCTTGTATGCTTAAAGAATGCTATGTGATTTTTTTCCCGGGTTATTTTTTCTGGTGCAGGAAAGAGGTACACGTGAATGAGAAAGATGAGGCCATCATTTTATGTGCATATTTCTCTCAGATTTAGCCCTTGAATCGCATTTTATAACAAGGTAATAGCAAGGTTTCTAGAGATAACTTTATTGTTGTACTTTTCCCGTTCCCTCTATTTTCCTTGTAGAGTATAATGTAGAAGTTTGTCCGTTTTCTACCCGAATTTCACCCAAGGGTACGTCTAAATTTATGAAGGTAATCTGATCACTTTATTTATTTTGAGCCTCATTGGATTGGTGGGAGTTCTAGTCCTGACTTCCTATGCTCTTTAAGTAGGCTCATCACCGATCTTATCCTATACAATGACCACACATATGCAGAAAGGGAAATCAGTAGTTAGGGCAGGAGCCAAAGAAATTGGCCATCATGTCAGTGTGGATGGAGGTTGAATCAACAATGTTCGATCTTGTAGCTTCCAAACTGAGCTTTGAGCTGCCGTTGTTGGGCATGGTGACGGACAATGCAACTGTGGCAGAAAACGAAGACAATCTTGGAAAGATTCTTGATGTATACGAGATGAGACTACGGGAATTAAAACACTTGGGAGAAGACAGCCTCACCCTGGCAGATATGCACCATGTCCCAGTTATACACCCATATCCCAGTTATACACTACTTGATCGGAACTATATCCAAGGCTGCGTTTAATTCTCATCCTCATGTAAGAGTTTGGTGTGAGTAAAAAATGTTGAAACTCTAGCCCTTATTAGAGGATCATAATACTTCCCATAAAATGGAAATTCTTGATCAATGGAGGAAGAATAGTGATTAATTAGCTGGAGAAGGGACAATTGACTTCGTCGCTTCATTCTTCCATACAAGTGGACGAAAAAACGTTCAACTTTCAAAGTTTTGCATTCATTTTTATCTTATTTTCAGGTAGATTATGCCTGGCCTCACAGGAACTCCTGATATGATGTTTTTGGTTAATTCTTACTAAATAGCCAGTTGCCTAGAATTGATAACTATAAGTGTTGAAGTTTCCGCACCTCCCACATTTGCCCAAACCCTGTCTCAGACAACATTTCAGCAAATTACAGCGGCTGGTTCATGTCCGATTGTTGCAGAACAAAATACCAAGAGCTTTACTTTATCAGCTTCGGTCGCACCCCCCCCCCCCCCACAAAAAAAAAACCTTTTTTTTTTATTTTTTTATTTTACTTTAACTTTCACACTTCTACTATAATTTGAAGTAGTCAATGTGTGCTATCCAACTTGGTTTTGTCAACGTTCAAATACAGTTAAAATCTATTCTAACATCTTACATAAAATAGTTTCGCCTTACTTTTTGGCTTTTAAATGTCATCATCTCTGATCGACTATTTCATATCAGTATATAATATCAAAGAGAACGTGCATCCTGACAGAAGCAGATATGTAATTACCCAAAGTACTTTCCTGGAAGGAAGATGCAGCAGGCACGCTAATAGGCAGTACCATTATTATTAAAAGAAATGAGTTGGTCAACAATATGAGGAGACTTGTGAGGCCATTACTTACCTAATCAGATTATTAATTAGTCTTTCTCCATCTCAAGATCATTGTATTAGCATCTTAATTAAAAGCATTAAAGGGTTTGTTTAGCCACCAAGACTTTTGGGATAATTTTATTAAAGAATGAGATTAAGAAATTTTACCTCGTACTCTATATATACCTCCATAACATAACCTTATTTCATCATGTTAAAGCAATATATTTATCACAATCCTAATTGATTATTCTTGATCTTTTAGTTATATATTCAGAAATTATGGCGATCAAAGTCCATGGTAGCCCTATGTCAACTGCAACCATGAGAGTTGCTGCTTGCCTAATCGAGAAGGATCTGGATTTTGAGTTGGTCCCTGTTGATATGGTCTCTGGCGAACACAAGAAGCACCCTTACCTTTCCCTCAATGTAAGCATAATCACATTAAGTCTATTGTTAGTGATTATTTACGTATATATATTTATGTTCCGGAAAAGAACACTGAGAGATCAGTTGAACCCATTGAATATAGTCACCGTCTGCCTTTGCTTATCACCATTCCATTTCAGCATATTGCAATATTTATAAAGATATCTCATTTTATCATTTTCCGCAACTTTAGCGTTGAACATGGATTCATGCCCTCTCTCTAAAAATGACATTTTTTAAAATTGATGCAGCCTTTTGGTCAAGTACCAGCATTTGAAGATGGGGACTTGAAGCTCTTCGGTAAGTACTTTTGTTATTCTTGCAATTTATATATATCAGCACAAAGGTGGCAAAATTTGAAAAGATTTAAATTATATATATAGATAGTGTAAATATTTTCTACTTCTTAGTGCCCAAGATTTTGTATTATTTCTTCCCAGGATAGAACGAATTACATATTTACTTTTAACAAATAAATTTGGTCCAAAAAATTAATCAATCAATTGACCGAAGTCAAAGTCGAAGAGCGACGGCGACGGCACGAGGCTTGCCTTCTTCTTAACTCTTCAAGAGCTAGAAAAAGTGCAATTGTATATATACCCATCAAAACCTTTTCCTCTTCCAATATGGGACAATGTCCCTTTGTCAAGGAGGAAAACTCAAATATTTTTAATTTCCCTCCATTTCCCATTCACTCTCTTTTAAGCTACATTTAAGCTTAAAAAACCCAACAATTATATCTACTAGTTACTAATTAATGATTATTATAGATATTTTTACGTATAATTACCTTTCAAGTAGGGGCAGAGCTCGTGTAGTGGTAAAGCCGTAAAGGAGGTTCAAAAGTTGCTCTAGGTCACAAGTTCAAATCCTAAGACATTCTAACATAAATTTTAAATCCCTTTATATAAATTCCTGATTCCACCACATCCTTTAAGCAACCTGATTTTTTACACTATCAATTTGAAATGATAAATTGGGAACTTGTAATGCAGAATCAAGGGCAATCACCCAATACATTGCTCATGTTTATGCTGACAATGGATATCAACTAATACTCCAAGATCCAAAGAAGATGCCCATTATGTCAGTGTGGATGGAAGTAGAAGGCCAAAAATTTGAACCACATGCTTCAAAGTTAACTTGGGAACTAGGCATAAAACCAATTATCGGCATGACCACAGATGATGATGCTGTGAAGGAAAGCGAAGTGCAATTGTCTAAGGTTCTTGACATATACGAAACTCGGTTGGCAGAGTCAAAATACTTAGGTGGAGACTCTTTTACATTGGTTGATTTGCACCATATCCCAAATATATATTACTTGATGAGTACAAAAGTTAAGGAAGTGTTTGATTCGCGCCCTCGTGTTAGTGCATGGTGTGCTGATATCTTGGCTAGGCCAGCTTGGGTTAAGGGATTGGAAAAGCTGCAAAAATAAAGAATATCATGAGCTAATGGATGACCATATTCTCAGAAGCCTAATTTATGTTTCATCTGTTGTGTTTTCTGTCTGAAGTTGTTGTCTTGCAATACAATAAAACAGTCAACAGTCATCGATATCCATGTCATTTACTTTGTGTACTGATATGTATGGTACAATAAATATAATTATGTGGTTTTTGTAGACTCAGCCTCATCTCCTTTCCATTTCCTATTAAATAGAACCGTTTTGTTTATTAAATTCTAAATCTCTTTTTATAAATAAGCATATACAATATAATTATCTGATATTCGAAACTCAATGGTATGACTAATCTAGATTCGTAAAAAATATACCCAATAAATAAACAACATTTGAAATGTAGTTTAAAAATACTAGTAGTAATTTTTCAGTTACAAAGACCTTTTTACCCTTAAAACTCAGGACAATATTATCCTGTAGAAGTTCGAACTCCAGAATCGTCCTGGAGCTTTAAGTTGTAAAAACTGAACTCCTGGACAGTATCTTAGAATTTTTCCAGCTCCAAATCCTTGGCATTTGAATTTCTAGCTCCTGGACAGTATCTTAGAATTTTTCCAGCTCCAAATCCTTGGCATTTGAATTTCTAGCTCCTGGACAGTATCTTAGAATTTTTCCAGCTCCAAATCCTTGGGATTCGAATTTCTACAAGTAAAACTCCAGGGCAGTGCCTGAATGTGTGTAACTTAAAAGAGCAAGCTGATTCTCTTTTTCCTTTCCGAAAGGCAGTTCTGAATAAATTTTATGGGTGGTCATTAAATTTTGTGTTCATTACCCTAAAGTAATTTTTTTTTTTTTTTGGTTACGTAAAAGTCATTCAACTTTGTGTTTGATAGAAACTAAGGGTCCACCAAATTATATAGAGAACCAGCTTTTCGATCTATTAGTTCCCACAGAACACACGCATACTGCAGTAGGTAAATGATACAAAGAAGTTTTACGTGAAAAACTCTCAGCTCACGGGATTAAAAACCACGACCTACCCTTGTAGGATTTCAACTTCACTACTGAGCAAACTTTAGATTACAACATATTGTAACCTATGAATTAACCTCTTAATCACTTACTAACTTGTAACAACTCTATTACAAGCCGCTTTCTAATAACTCTATTACAAATACTTACAACTCGACTAACTCTAGCCAAGACACAAACACAAGGGTTTATGATTTATAAAGGTTTCCTACACAATGCTTCTAACTAAGCTAAGTAGGAATTACTGTGAACAATTAATTTTTGACCACACTCGAATTCTATACTATTTTAGTATAAATATTTCTTTTAGGTATAATTTTGATATTGTAAACTTTTATCTTACTCTTAATAGATTTTATTTAAGAAAATTAAAAACTACATTAAATATTCACATTCTTAGAGTATAACTTTTGTTCCTATTTTTAAATAGAAGAATAAAATATATATTTGGTTTCTTCTAATTTTACATGTAAGCTATAGTATTTTTTTTCTTAGTATAATTTAAACTACAATGTAAATATTTAGTTTTCTTATGTATATAATAATTAAGTCTAAACGTAGCTGACTAATATTTTTAGCTATACATTTTACTTTCTCTTTTCTTCATTTAGAAAAATAAATAAATAAGTAAAAGTGTTTTTTTTTTTAAAAAGCAACTAACGAAAATACAAAAAAAGGTAACAAAATAAGTAATACAAAAATTTTTCTCTTAATCTTAGTTACATCACGTCCCTTCCCCTCAACCCCTCACGTCTCACTCACATTGCACACAAACACAAACGACACAATGCACACACAGCGCACTAGTTACACTTTTCCTCGGCGACTCACACATTGCACTATATAAAATATTTCACTTTTAGTATTTAAGAGGAGGAGTCCAATTTTTTGAAAAAAGGAGAAAAACTTTGAGCAGAGGAGAACGAGATTTGGAGGTTAGAAAACAATCTGGAAAAAAAAATCAGTCACCTTCTTCATAAAAGAATCGAGCCTAAAAAAACCATAAAACCTTCTTAATACCACGTCAATCATCAGTTCCTCATCCATTAACGCCAACAAAATCGGGTCACATTCCAGTTGGGGTTAGTCAAGGCAAATTCCGGCGAGATTTCGAGATTATCGTGGGGTTCTTGTTTAGTCACGGCTGTGAGAAGCATAAATCCAGATTCAGTTGGTAAAAAAAAAGTTTCTAAAGGTTCTTTGCTTATCTTTTATCTTTTCTATATTTATTCTTCAAATACAAAAGTGTTCTCATTGAATTCTTTTTTTTTTTGAATTTCCTTTGTCGTCTATATGCATTGAGATTTTGTGAGTTCTGTCATAATTAATTATCAGGTAATAAGATGCATTGTTTATTAGTATTAATTTTGTTTTGTAAATTTTATTGATATGATTCTATTTTTGGGTTTGTTTAAGCTAAAATGAAAAATGATTTTGGTTAATTATTCTAAATTAATTTTTGGGTGTTGGTTTATTTGTTAAGTCTTTAAATATTAGCCCATGTGTTCATACCCGAACCTTGGATTGATATGCTTAAATAATA